GGGGGGGGTATCGAGGCCTCTGGGGTGTCGTTTTCGCCGACCTTCGCGCGTGAGCTGCCCGCGTAAGGTCGCGCGTGAGAGCCTTCGTTCCCAGCGTAGCGTGCCGCGCTGCTGGCCGCGCACTCCACCGCGCAAGGTCGCTACGTCATCTCGCGTAAGACCCGTTTCTGATCGTCGCCCAGATGGGGTCGGAGTAATCTCACGTAGCTTACAATCAAGTTGCTGCCACACGTAACGCAGGTCAAGTGGCTTACAGCCAAGTGGCTCACGGTCGGACCGAGGTATACATCGGCCCAACGGATGTTCCTTGAATTTTATGATGGCGTTCGCCGCGCGGAAAATGGCAGACGTATTGCGAGGGTGGCAGAAGTCGGCGGTAGTAATTGTGCGCCTTCCGACTTCTTGCCCCAGTAGAAGCCTAGCAAGGTAGTCTTCCTTCCTGGGTCGGGCGGGATCCCGACGAGCTTAGTCCCTCTTAATATTATAGGTTTGATCCAGCCAGGTCGAAATCTCACCCATTAAAAATAGGGTAAGCCAAAATCCCGGATCCCTTGAGGAATCCCGCCGTGTTGGGATCGGCTGGACGCAAGTTGGAGTTCATAAGTTCACAGACTCCTGCTGTGGTGGGGCCGCTTTGATGCTATCTTCAGGCGATGCGCGCGCTGTTCTGTCGCCGCGGACCCCTCGTCACGGCCTCTTGAAGCCATGTTGGGTAATTTTAAGATCAGCTTCGCATGATATGCAGGTCGCGGGACCGCCCGTTGCGTCGATTTGCGAACGATATTGGGTGCATCGTGGAGTTGTCGTCAGGTCGTTTTCATATCGCCTTCGCGTCATGTTTGGATTGTGCGGGCGTCGCTCGGTCAGTTTGGAGTCGCCCTTGATGTGCTGGGGTCAATCTTCTGGCCTTGGGGCCGTCTCGGCATCGCCCGCGGCTCATCAGACGGGAGACTGTCAAGATGCTATGTCGGGATCATGTCGGGCCATGGGGTCATCTCAGTTTCGCTTGAAGGTCATCGTCGGTGGCCTGGGGCCCGAGTGATACCACTTTGGGGCTCTGAGGTCACGCGGTCATTGCGTGCACTTGTGCGTACTTCCCCGTGACATGTTCGAAGGAAACCTTTAAACTTTTGTTGGAGCCAAGTAGGATCGAGGCCGGTTCGGGGAGGATGCCCAGAGTGCTCTTCGTGTTTGTTTTTTGTGCTCATCTTTGGGGGAGAGTGCCCTCGAATGGTCTTCGGCCTGGCAGGCGGAGGGTCTCGTGTTCTTGAAGGATGTTCTTCGGTCCTAGATCTGACCCTGCGCCGTTCCGTCGATCCCCCAGAAGGAGTGAGGGCTCGCGGCGACGGTGGAAGTTGTGTGGTGGGCCAGGAGCCTCCCTCTGGGATGGCCACGAAGGGTCTGGGGGGGGGGGCTCTTGGGATGCTTCTCGGGTGCATCCTGTAGGGCTCCTTGTTGCATCTTGGGGGCTTGGTGGGGGCCTCCGGGGCGTCTCTTGGGGGCGCCTCGGGGGCCTCCTGGATGGAAGTATACTCGAACAGCACAAACATACGTTTTCGGAGATCCGCGCGAAGCTCCCAGCAGTGTACACGTTTGTGCAGTGTTCTGCTCCTCTAGAGATGAGGTCGGAGGATCGCGCCGCATCGCCGATGCATCGGCGATGCAGGTCGATGTGTAGCTCGATTTTCTCCACACCGACGTCCCCGATGCATCGCCGACGTCGCCGATGCATCGGTGATGCAATGACGATGCGGCGCGATTCTCCGACCCCATTTGTTCCGACCCCATTTGGGATGCTTCTAGTCGGAGGGGAGGGGCAGCAGAGAAAGCATCTGCCCCACTCTCCATCCCTCCCCAGACATTCGTTCGTGTTTGCTCTTGTTCGGGCCATGTGGTCCTCATATGTTGGTCGGGCTCGAGGAATCCCTGCGCTGAGATGGGGTTCGGAGTTCCAGCCGTACCATGTGGCAACACACGGTGGCGTCTTCAAGCCGTTGGGCGTCGATGTCCGGAGAGATTTGCGGGGGCGGTGTCAGGACGGTAACAGGAGGGAGAGGAGGGGAGGAGGAGGAGGAGGAGGAGGAGGAGGAGGAGGAGGAGGAGGACGGAGAGGAGGAGGAGGGCGGAGGAGGAGGAGAGGAGGAGGAGGAGGAGGAGGAGGAGGAGGGCGGAGGAGGAGGAGGAGGAGAGGAGGAGGAGGAGGAGGAGGAGGAGGAGGAGAGGGAGGAGGAGGAGGAGGAGGAGGAGGAGGGAGAGGAGCAGGAGGCGGAGGTGGAGGAGGAGGAGGAGGAGGGAGGGCTGGAGGGAAAGAGAGAGAGGGCGGAAGAGGAGAGGTCGGGGACGGAGGAGTTCTCCTGGTCGGGCGAGCGCCCAGGAGCGCATCCGGCAGCTGCGCAAGGAGATTCTGGCGGAGGAGGCCGCTGGGGACTCGTCCAGCGCAGCGCGCGAAGCGGCCGCTGGAACCGGCGGCGCGGCCAGGGTCAGGGGCGGCGGCGCAGAGGACGGCAGCTGGCTGAAGGGCGAGGGTACCTAGAGGATCGTGAGCTGCCACCTTGGAGGTCGGACCTCGTTATTTTTGTCGGAAAAGGCTTCATCGAAGGTAAACTTTCGGAGATCCGCGCGAAGTTATCGTCGGCTGCTGTTGGTGTTGTTGTGGCTGCTGCTGTTGTTGTCGCTGCTGTTGTAAGTGTTGATGTGGCTGTTGTTGTTGTTGTTGCTGTTGTTGTAATTGTTGTTGTAAGTGGTGTTCTAATTGTTGTTGTTGTTGTTGTTGTTGTTGTTGTTGTTGTTGTTGCTGTCGTTGTTGTTGTTGATGTTGATGTTTTTGTTATTGGTATGGTTAGTGCTGTTGTTGTTGTTGTTGCTGTTGTTGTTGTTGTTGGTGGTGTTGGGGTTGGGGTTGGTGTTGGTGTTGTTGTTGTTGTTGTTGTTGTTGTTGCTGCTGCTGCTGTTGTTGTGGTTGTCGTTGTCGTTGTCGTTGTTGTTGTTGTTGTTGTTGTTGTTGTTGTTGTTGTTGTTGTTGTTGTTGTTGTTGTTGTTGTTGTTGTTGTTTTTTGTTGTTGTTCTCTCACTTCTGAAGAATAATTATTGTTGACCCCCCCCACTGGTGCATATGGTTTTTCTCAATCAAAGTGTGCCCCTCGACGCTCGCACCCTGTTGTTTGACAGGAAAAGTCTTGATGCTCAAACTGTGTCCCTGGCCCCTGGGTTACAACAACGGTTCCCGCCTGAGATTTCTTTGCAATCCGCTCCCGCCCGAGACTTCCTCGCATGTTATTCAGGAATCGCGCTCTCGCTTGGGACTTCCTTACAATTTATTCAGGAATCGCTCTCCCGGCGCTCTGGAGTCGCGCTCTCGCTGGAGACTTACTTGCAATTTACTGACGAATAGCGCCCTTGCGTTGGAATTTTCCTGCAATTTGCTAAAGCGCCGCGCTCCCGACACCCAGGCACCCAGGAGTCGCGCTCACGCTTAGGACTCCCTCACAGATTACCTCGGAATCGGGGCCTCGCTGCCCTTCGTGGCCCCGTTGCAGCCCTTCGTGGCCCCCTCGCTTTGTCTCGTAACCCCGTTGCAGCCCTTCGTGGCCCCCTCGCTTTGTTTCGTGGCCCCGTTGCAGCCCTTCGTGGCCTCTTCGCTTTGTTTCGTAACCCCGTTGCAGCCCTTCGTGGCCCCCTCGCTTTGTTTCGTGGCCCCGTTGCAGCCCTTCGTGGCCCCCTCGCTGCCCTTCGTGGCCCCCTCACTTTGTTTCGTGGCCCCGTTGCAGCCCTTCGTGGCCCCCTCGCTGCCCTCCGTGGCCCCATATATGTATGCCCTTCGTGGCCCCCGCTCGTTCGCGCCCGTTGTGGCCCCATGTGCATGCCCGTGGTGGCCCCGCTGTCGCCGTTTGTGGCCCCCTCATTGTCCTACGTGGCCCAATTGCTACCCTCAGTGGCCCCATCGTTGCCTTCTGTGGCCCTTCATTATCTGCCCTTCGTGGCCCCCGCTCGTTCGCGCTCTTCGTGGCCCCATACGCATTCCCTTCGTGTCCCCGCTGTCGCCCTTCGTGGCCTACTTCGTGTCCTTCGTGGCCCTGCTGTCGTTCTCTCTCGTTTTCGCTTGTCGTCGTCGCCGTCGTCGTCGTCGTCGCCGTCGTCGTCGACGTCGTTGTCGTCGTCGTCGTGGTCGATCCCCTGTCCGTCCCTCTTGGGGTCGGGTCGACGGTCCGCGGCCGCCCCGCCGATCAGCGCTGCCGCTGGCCAGGCCGACGGTCCGCGGCCGCCCCGCCGCTTGCCGGGGCCCGGCCTGCAGGGAAGAAAGGTATACCCCCCAAAAGGGTCTCGATCGAAGACGAAGAGGGCGGGTATCGAGGGTTTGGGAAATACGCGTTATTGGACATTCGTTCAGATAGAGGCGAACAATGTTGCAATGGTTGTTGTTGCTGCTGTTGTTGGTTTTGTTGCTGTTGTTGTTGATGTTGTTGCTGCTGTTGATGTTATTGCTTGGCACAAATCCGGCTGCGCTTGAAACGACCCGGCGGCTGGCCGCGGGGGCGCCCTCGCTCGGCTGTTCGGCAGGCCGCGCGGTGGCCGACCCGCGACCGCCTTCCGGTTGCGTTGTGCGGTGTTGTGCCGTGCCATGCTTCTTCCGCCTTGTACTGGGGCGGGGTTTACATACCGTACAGTGTCTCGCTTCTCGTTCCATAGTGGCCTGTGCCGTGTCTCGTGTTTCGGTCCATGGTGACCACGTGCGGTGGCCCATAGTGGCCTGATGCGCTCACTGGCCCAATGGGGGCCATCTCTTCTGGTGCATAGTGACCACGTGCTGTCGTTGGCAGAGTGACCCATTGGGTTTCCCCCCTGCTCCATGGTGGCCAGTTGCTTTCGGATCGGCTGCAACCATGTGCCCACTGGGGTCCCAAGTCCTGCGTGGCTCAAGGGGGCTCGTTGCGTTGTCTTCTGTGTGCACGATGGGGTCGTGAAGGGTCTGTCTGGGCCGCCGGCTCGCTCCTACTGGGGTGCCCTGCGGCCCGTGGTGGCTCGGGGCATCGTCCTCGGTGGCGGAGAGAGGGCATCGCGCGGCCCCCTATGTCCACCGCGCCCTCTGGCGCGTCCATTCTTCATCGCGACGCGCCAGCGCGTGGGCGCGCGGGTCTCAGCTGACGGGCAGCTAGCGCCGTCGCGCGGGGTTCTTGCGTGCGCCCCGTGGCGCTGGGCTCGCGATAGCGATGCTTGCCTTCTTGCAATATGATCCTGTTGTGGGTGCGAAGTGGACTGGCATCCAGTTCGAGGGCGCCGTTGATTGACTGGCAGCCGATTGGCTGACCGCGCCGGAAAATTCTACAACTATTCAATCCGAAGACTTGCCTGCGTCGTCGAAGGGCGCCCTGCGGCGCGCTCTGGATCGCGCGACGGTGGCGGGCGCCAAGGCGAGTTCGCCAGGGGCCGCGGGGCCCGCGCATGCTTCGGTGCGATGTCGCAGCTGCGATGCAGCAGAATTCCGGGCCTGCGCCGAAGGGGGGGCATGTCGACGTTGGCGCGGGCCTGGCCCAGATTGCCCTGATGGGGGCTTCCGCAGTCTTTGTGGACGAGGCAGCCGCGCGTCTCGGCCCCGGCGCGCTGGCGCGCACCCGCAGGCGACGCGGTGGCCACCGAGGTGCAGCGCGCTTTAAGCCAAGGGTATCGAGCACCCGTTTATCTTTACGGAGCACGTGAAGTTTCAGCCTCTACGCGCGCGCGGCGCGGGCGGCTCTCCCGACGATGACGAGGCCGCGCCAGACGAGGCTGCCGCGCTGGTTAGAGCGCTCGGCCGGGGCGCCGCGGCAGAGAGCCAGCCGCTTCTGGCGCGGGCGCCACGGCGCCAGGCGCGCGACGCGTGGAGCTCGGCGGCGGCGGTCGCAGGTCAGATATCGCGCGCGAACGCCATGGCCCACAAGTGCGCTCTTCTCCAGGCGAGCTCAGGCCGGCCCCGTCTGCCGGTCGCCCGCGGGAGCGCGCCCGCCCAGGTTGCGCCGGGTGCCCCTTTGCAGGGGCGGAAGGCCCAGGTTGCCTCGGCGTGCGACCGCCTTGCGCGGAGGACGTGGGCCGAGCGTGCCGCCGCGGGCGCGGCGGACCTCAAGGCCGCAGCTTCGCGCGATGTTTCAATGCGATACCCTCGGGCGCGCGTCGGCGCGCAGGTGGGCGCAGCTGCGCTGTCGCTTGCCAGCGGGCTTCCGCGCGCAGCAGAAGCATGGTGCGATGGGGCCCCGAAGGGCGCGTCGTCGAATTTCCCTTCGCGCGCTGCGCCGCCGCTGCCGCGCAGGTCGCTGCGCCAGTCGGCAATGTCGCAGCAAGAGGCGCCGCGGCGGCGCGCGGGCGGGGTGCGAGCGCCGCGGGCGCCGCCGGCACCTCTTGGGGGAGTTGCCGCGAGCCGGGAGCCGACGGGCGGTATTCCCGCTCTTGTTTCTACGGAAAGCACAATAACAAGCGCCCTTGGGATTCGCGGACGGCGCATGCACCTCGGAAGAAGCCGTTCGCCCGACGCCAGCGAGAGGCGCGCGCATCGCGCGGCGCGCGGCGATGTCTGGGGCGCGCGCCAATGAGGACATGAATTTCGCGCCACGTCGGCATTGGAATGACGACGAATGGGCGCCGACCGCGGCCGCGGCCCCGCGGGGCCCGCAGGCGCGCGCGCGCCGGCGGCTGGGCGCCGCGATGGTGCCGCGTCGTCCAGGGAATGGGCGCCAGTCTGCCATCGCGGTCAGGTTGCGATGCGAGGGCCGCCCGCCCGCTGGGCCAGGAGGCGCGCGAACGCCCTCGGCAGGCCCGCGCGCTTGCGCTCGCGAAGCGCAGGAAGAGACTGGACTTAGTGTCGATGCCGCGTGGAATTAGCAGGTGCTGCGCCCTGGGGCTCGCGCGACGCTCGTGGGCTCGCGCGCCCAGCAGAATGGCGCCTCTAGTCGCAATCGACGCGCTCGTGCGCTGGCCATGGCCGGCTGCATTCGCCTGCCGCCACCTTCGTCTGCTGGGCTTGCCTTTCTTGAAGAGGCCTTCTCCCGTTCTCATGCCCTCGAGGACAAAGAGGCTTTTGAAAGGGCCGTGATGGTTGCCGGCGACATTTCGGCGGCGATCGATCGGATTGCTGCGCGCCCGGCGCGGGGCGGGCGCGCCGTGAGCGGTTCGCGACTCTTGAGCGCGTTCGGGCCAGAGACGCCGAGCTCCGCGCCTCTGGCGCGACGGCGGCCTGGTTCGCGGGCCCCGATGCTAATGCGCGCGCCGTCGCAGGGTCGATAAACGTCCCTCGTCTCGTCGAACTGCATGACGAAATTGGTTGCGAGGGCGCGGCCCGCGCGGAAGTTCTCCGGCTCGGGGCGCCCCTCGTAGGGCCGCCTCCTTGCGCGTGAACGGGCGACTTGAGCCTTTCCCTGAACCGCTCAGCCCGTCGGAATTGACCGCGGGCGCTGCGCGCGGCAACGCCGCTCTGCTCGGCGCGCTCAAAGAGTCCAGCGACTTGGCCGAGGTTCTCGCCAAAACTGTTGCCGA